TGGCACCCAACTTCTTTTTGGCTGCTTCCCAAAATACAGGCTTGTGTGTGTGACTCCATGATGCAAAGACCGCGATTGCCAACCCAGCAAGAAACTCCCCATTTGCTTCGTCTTCTCTCAATGCCATTTGGAAACACTTTGTGGCTTCTCTGCCATTGCGTAAGCCTGCTGCCAGGAGAGACCAGCCTTTCTGTGCATGTATCTCAGGGATCTGAGCTACATATGGAGAGCGGCTCTTCAGGGAGCTGCAGATCTTTCTAACCTTGTCCAGGTAAATCTCAACCAAATCATAGTGGGCCAAGTGATAATAGAGCCAGGCGTAGTTTCCGTAAATGACCAGGACCTGCCGGGGGAAGTTATCTGGGTGATCTCTTTGCAGAATCTCCTCGGCTTCTCTAAGGCTTTGCAGAGCGTCTTCATATTGCCCTTGTAGGTGGAAGAGATAAGCCTGCATGGCAAGGAATGTGGGCTGGTTCTGGTAGAGAGTGTGGGCAATCCTGAGAGCCAGAGTTTGGAGGATGTGAGTTGCATCTACCTTGTCTCTGATTTCAAAGTTCCAGGTGAAGTGGCACTGGAGGGCCTGCAGCTTCTCCTTCAGACGCAGGGGGCTGCAAAGAGAGGGGGAAATGAGACTCTGTCTGGGCTGAATGAATTTCCATTACACGCTGCAATCCTGGGGCAGTGATTACAGAGTGACACGGTCTCCTTCTGGTTTAAAGCAAATAGCTACGTGGCAATAAAGAACCAAGGCTGGATTTCAGTGTCTGACGTCCTCACTCTCCCAGGCGTGGGACCCATGGATTGAATCTAATCTTTGTGAAATCCTCTTAGTACTTCCTGTGTCCTAGAAAGCAACACTGCAAAACCACATGACCCACTGCCACAGATGCCGTCTGTGGTATTTGTCATGTCACAGAAAGCTCCACACTTGGTAACTTCAGGAGAATTTCTCAGGGGGGAAATAACAACGTAGAATGTTTGTTTGTTCAAAATGCGTTTACCTGTTTGAATGCCCCTCCAGCACCAGAGCTGCTAAGTGCGAGATTTAGCAGTGGTCATTTTGTTGTGCAGTTCACCTTTAGGGCTGAAGCAAGCTGTTAACTGGAATATTTGACGCGTGTTATTCCAAGCCAACATGTCCATCATGAGGTCACAAAACAGAGACCCCAAAACAAGGGAATTCCCATGTAAGAACTTGGTGACTCTGGAGCTAAGGTTGCAAATGCAGTATGGACCAGTGATGTACAGGATGGGGGTGAACCTCAATAGAAATGTGCTGTTTTTAAGGAGCTGATACCTAGAAAATTGAATCTTCGGGGTGCACTTAAACCCCCTCAAACACTGGAAATCATCTGTCTGCCCACTGGGGTCATTAATGGGCTGCGATACGTGTGTGGGGAGAGAGAGTCTCGCGCTGACTTCAATGGGGCCATTTATCCAAGGAGACAGGAAGGGCCGGACTCTCCTTTACACAGAGGCCTTGGCTACACTGTGAAAACGCCCCCCCCCCCTCGAGCGCAGCGCTGTAAAGTGTCAGTGTAATCAGAGCCCGCAGGGCTGCAAGCTACTCCCCTCGGAGAGGTGCAGCACATACAGCGCTGCGAGAGAGCTCTCGCGGCGCTGGCGGCGCGACTACACTCGCACTTCACAGGCGGCGCGACTACACTCACGCTTCACAGCGCTACCGTTGCAGCGCTGGGAAGTCCCGAGTGTAGCCAAGGCCAAAGGCCAGTTCCCAGCACGCTGGCAGCGTAAAGCGAGTGTAAATGGAAAGGCCCCTTCACACGGCCAGGGTGCTGTGAATGGCCGCAGGGTGTGTCCCCCCTGCAATGAGAGGTGTGATCGCAGCATGGGCTGCCCTCCCCGCACTAGCTGTAACCTAGCTCCCGCAGCTAAAAAACAGCAGTGACGCGTGGTGGCGTGGGATCCGCGAGCCCGTCTGGTCCCCCGGGTACGTACTCGTGTTTCTAGCCCACATCCGGGGCTGTGTCTCTGCAGCGTCACTGCTCGGTTTAGTCCCACTAGCTAGGTTAAAGGTAGCCTACCCCGCCCCCCCCCCCGGTCGCCCCTACAAATCGGCCCCCCTGCTGCCTGCACCGGGCAGTATCGCAGCGAGCCCATAAGAGGCTCTGGCCCGGGGGGGGCAAACTTTTTGGCCCGAGGGCCACATCGGGGTTGCAAAACTATATGGAGGGCCAGGTAGGGAAGGCTGTGCTTCCCCAAACAGCCTGGCTCCTGCTCCCTATCCGCCCCCTCCCACTTCCTGACCCCTGACTGCCCCCCTCAAACCCCCAACCCATCCAACCCCCCTGCTCCTTGTCCCCTGACCGCCCCATCCCGGGATCCCCACCCCCTATCCAACCCCCCGTCGCCTGACTGCCCCGACCCCTATCCACACCCCCGCCCCCTGACAGTCCCTCCGGGACTCCCACCCCCTATCCAACTGCCCTCTGCCCCTCGTCCTCTGACCATCCCCTCCCGGGACCCCCCGCCCCTAACTGCCCCCTGGGATC